ATTGGGGGCATTTTGCATCGCCTGCCCAGTCTTTTACTTTCGTAGGGAGTGATTTCTGTGTGCAGATTTGGGACCATTCCTTCCAAGATTTTCCAAGTGTAGATTACGATATATCTCTCCCTCCTGCGTTCCAACGAGTACAAGTCAAGTGCTTCCAAGCGTTCCCAGTAGTTAAGGTGCTTGACAGAACTTATACGTGCAGTAAAGGATCTCTGTACACTCTTTAGATCTGCGATTTCACCTGGTGAGTGGTCCTGCTGGATGGTGAGTGGTGCAGCTGGATGGTGAGTGGTTCTGCTGGTTCGTTAGTGGTGGTGCTGGATGGTGAGTGGCCCTGCTGGTTGGTGAGTGGTCCTGCTGGATGGCGAGTGGTTCTGCTGGATGGTGAGTGGTCCTCCTGGATGGTGTGTGGTGCTGCTGGATGGCGAGTGGTCCTCCTGAACGGTGAGTGGTGGTGCTGGATGGTGAGTGGTCCTGCTGGATGGTGAGTGGTCCTGCTGAATGGTGAGTGGTTCTGCTAGATGGTGAGTGGTCCTGCTGGATGGTGAGTGGTCCTGCTGAATGGTGAGTGATTCTGCTGGATGGTGACTGGTCCTGTTGGATTGTGAGTGTTGCTGCTATATTGTGAGTAGTCCTTCTTGATGGTGAGTGGTCCTTCTGGATGGTGACTGGTCTTGTTGGATTGTGAGTGGTGCTGCTGGATGGTGAGTAGTTTTGCTGGATGGTGAGCGATCCTGCTGGATGGTGAGTGGTCCTGTTGGATTGTGAGTTGTGCTGCTAGATTGTGAGTGGTCCTGCTGGATGGTGAGTGGTCCTTCTGGATGGTGACTGGTCCTGTTGGATTGTGAGGGTTGCTGCTAGATTGTGAGTGGTCCTGCTGGATGGTAAGTGGTCCTGCTGGATGGTGACTGGTCCTGTTGGATTGTGAGTGGTGCTGCTAGATTGTGAGTGGTCCTGCTGGATGGTGAGTGGTCCTGCTGGATGGTGACTGGTCCTGTTGGATTGTGAGTGGCGCTGCTAGATTGTGAGTGGTCCTGCTGGATGGTAAGTGGTCCTGCTGGATGGTGACTGGTCCTGTTGGATTGTGAGTGGTGCTGCTGGATGGTGAGTGGTCCTGCTGGATGGTGAGTGGTCCTGCTGGATGGTGAATGGTCCTTCTGGATGGGGGCTGGCCCTTTTTGGTTTGTGAGGGGTGCTGCGGATGGTGAGTGGTGCTGTGGAGGGTGATGTTCATGTTGGATTGTGAGGGGTGCGCGGGATGTCAGTGGCCCTGCTGGGGTTGGTCCTTATTACAACCCAGGATTCCAAATCCCCTGTTCCCCCGGTTTTGTAAGGGAGCAAAATAAACACAGCAAAAAAAAATTTTTAGACTTAATTATCCTTCCCCAATTTTAAAACAGAATATGTACACATGCGTGTAATTATAGTGCATCCCGGTAAGAAAAGCAAAATAGAAGCCCACTCTAAAATTGGGAAATGACAAGGGGCAGACGGGAGAGCGGTACCCACATAACTCGCATTCAAAACCCTCTTTTATTGGCTAAAACCGGTCCTAGTTGAACGACGGGGCCCCATCATAAACCTTTTGAACTGGTTCGCTGGTTGGGGAGTAGCCTGAAATGAGGGTGTGTACATGCTCCAAAATAAAGGTTATCTTTGCATGCCACAGTCCTGTTGGATTGGGTGGGGGCCTAGATTGTGAGGGGTCCTGCGGATGGTGAGTGGCCCTTTCTGGAGGGTGAGGGTCCTTTTTGGGTTGTGATGGTGCTGGGAGGGTGAGGGGTACTCTGGTGGTGTGACCCGTTGGTTGTGGTGTCCTGCTGTTTGGGTGAGTGGCCCTGCTGGATGGGGGAGTGGCCCGTTGTTGTAAATGGTGCGCTGGATGGTGATGGTCCTGCGGGATGGGGGAATGGCCTTCCTGGATGGTGAGGGTCCTTTTGGGTTTGGAGGGGTGTGCTGGTTTGGGGAGGGGTATGCTGGATGGTGACTGATCCTGTTGGATTGTGAGGGGCCTGCTGCTTGGTGAGGGGGCCCCGCTGGAGGGTGAGTGGTCCTTTTGGGATTGTGGTGGTCTGCTGGATGGTAGTGGTCTGCGGGATGGGAGTGGTCCTCCTGGTGGGGGTGGTCCTTTGGATTGTGAGGGGTCCTGCTGGATGGTGAGTGGCCCTGCGGGATGGTGAGGGTCCTTTGGATTGTGATGGTCCTACTGGATGGTGACTGGTCCTTTTGGGGATTGTGAGTGGTGCTGCGGATGGTGAGTGGCCCTGCTGGTGGTGACTGGTCCTGTTTGGTTGTGAGTGGTCTCTGGATTGTGAGGGCCCTGCTGGTGGTGACGGGTCTTGTTGATTGTGATGGTCCACTGGATGGTTACGGGTCCTATTGGATTGTGATGTTGCTGCTGGATGGTGAGGGGTCCTGGGGGTGGTGAGGGTCCATTGGATTGTGAGTGGTCTGCTGGTTGTGGTGGTGCTGCTGGATGGGAGTGGTCCTGTTCTCTGATTCCAGCGCTCCTCATCCCCTTACTGACTCTACTACCCCCTGTACCTCACAAAGATCACACTACCTACCTGTACCTCAAAAAAGACTCATACTCCTACCTGTACCTCACAAGGGATCACACTCCCTACCTTACCTCACTAAGGCTCCACTACCTACCTTTTCTCACTAAGATCACACTACCTACCTGTTTAAAAATAAGATATACTACTCCCTTTGTACCCCCAAAAGGGACTCACACTACCCTGTACCTCACTAAGATTTATCTGTACCTCACTAAGACCACATTTCCTACCTGTACCTTACAAAAGACTACACTACCCCCCTGCACCTCACTAAGACTCACACTACCACCTTACCTACAAAGCCTCGCACTACCACCTGTCCTCACTAAGCTACACTCCCTACCTGACCTCACTAAGACTCACACTACCTACCTGTACCTCGGTAAGACTCACACTGCCCACCTGTACCTCACTAAGACTCACACTACCTACCTCTGCCTCACTAAGACTCGCACTACCTACCTGTACCTCACTAAGACTAACACTACCTACCTCTGCCTCACTAAGACTCACAGTACCTACCTGTACCTCACTAAGACTCGCTACCCACCTGTACCTCACTAAGACTCACACTACCTACCTGTACTCACTAAGACTAACACTACCTACCTGTACATCACTAAGACTCACACTACCTACCTGTACCTCACTAAGACTCACGCTACCTACCTGTACCTCACTAAGACTCACACTATCTACCTGTACCTCACTAAGACTAACACTACCTACCTGTACCTCACTAAGACTCACACTGCCTACCTGTACCTCACTAAGACTCTCACTATCTACCTGTACCTCACTAAGACTCACACTACCCACCTGTACCTCACTAAGACTCACACTACCTACCTGTACCTCACTAAGACTCACAGTACCTACCTGTACCTCACTAAGACTCACTACCCACCTGTACCTCACTAAGACTCACACTACCTACCTGTACCTCACAAAGACTCACACTACCTACCTGTACCTCACTAAGACTCGCACTACCTACCTGTACCTTACTAAGACTCGCACTACCTACCTGTACCTCACTAAGACTAACACTACCTACCTGTACATCACTAAGACTCGCACTACCTACCTGTACCTCACTAAGACTCACGCTACCTACCTGTACCTCACTAAGACTCACACTACCTGTACCTCACTAAGACTCACACTACCCACCTGTACGTCAGTAAGACTCACACTACCCACCTGTACCTCACTAAGACTCACACTACCTACCTGTACCTCACTAAGACTCACTACGTACCTGTACCTCACTAAGACTCACACTATCTACCTGTACCTCACTAAGACTCACTACCCACCTGTACCTCACTAAGACTCCACTACCTACCTGTACCTCACTAAGACTCACACTACCCACCTGTACCTCAGTAAGACTCACACTACCCACCTGTACCTCAGTAAGACTCACACTACCCATCTGTACCTCACTAAGACTCACACTACCTACCTGTAACTCACTAATACTCACACTACCTACTTGTACCTAAGACTCACACTACCTACCTGTACATCACTAAGACTCACACTACCTACCTGTACCTCACTAAGACTCACACTACCTACCTGTACCTCACTAAGACTCACACTACCTACCTGTACCTCACTAAGACTCACACTACCCACCTGTACCTCACTAAGACTCACACTACCCACCTGTACCTCACTAAGACTCACACTACCTACCTGTACCTCACTAAGACTCACACTACCCACCTGTACTTCACTAAGACTCACACTACCCACCTGTACCTCACTAAGACTCACACTACCCACCTGTACTTCACTAAGACTCACACTACCCACCTGTACCTCACTAAGACTCACACTACCCACCTGTACCTCACTAAGACTCACACTACCCACCTGTACCTCACTAAGACTCACACTACCCACCTGTACCTCACATCAACTAACTACACGAATACCACCTGGTGGTTCACACTTACACTCACTCATTTGACCATAAACAGAAATATTAATCTCAATCTTAAAATAATGAATCCTGTGATACTCCAATACTGAAACTATGTACTGTGCCAAAACAAAAGCATTCACATTGCTAAACTCACAAACTAGTATTTAGTCACTTAGCCATAATACCAACTTACCTCATAATTTGTAATATTTTACAATTAAGAATTAAACTAAGTCTGCCCGAAATGCCTAGCCATGCTAGGCGTTCTAGTGGTACACTCTGTAATCACTATTTTACTACATGTAAACCAAACAATAACCAAATTTCTGTAAACTCAGCATTGTAATCCTTATAGAGAATAAACTTTGAATTTGAATTTGAATTTGAATTGAATTAAGACTTGCACTACCTACCTGTACCTCACAAAGACTTGCACTACCTACCTGTACCTCACTAAGACTCACACTACCTACCTGTACCTCACTAAGACTCATCCCAACCAGTGTAAAGGGAAGGAGTACGGAGAGAAGAGTGACATCTGGGCCCTGGGTTGTATACTCTACGAGATGGCTTGTTTACAGAAGACCTTTGACGGATCTAACCTGCCAGCACTTGTTAACAAGATTATGAAGGTAAGTCCTAGTACTACAGCACTATCATAAATAATAATAATAATAAAATTAATAATAATAATAATAATAATATATTATAATAATAAAATTTAATAATAAAAATAATAATAATAATAGGTAGTAAGCCAGTACTAATAGCTCAGTTTCTCCCACATATAGGGTCAGTTCGCACCAATCAAAGGTAACTACTCTCCAGGGTTCAAGCAACTGGTCCGTGACCTCCTGCAACGTGACCCTGAGTTCAGGCCCACGGCAGCTGAGGTAGGTCACACCAGGTCACTCTTGCACCTGTTCTTTGTTGTATTACTGCCTCAGTAATGTTGTGTTGTGTCACTGCCTCAGTAATGTTGTGTCACTGCCTCAGTAATGTTGTGTCACTGTCTCAGTAATGTTGTGTCACTGTCTCAGTAATGTTGTGTCACTGTCTCAGTAATGTGGTGTTGTGTCACTGTCTCAGTAATGTTGTGTTGTGTCACTGTCTCAGTAATGTTTTGTCACTGTCTCAGTAATGTTTTGTCACTGTCTCAGTAATGTTTTGTCACTGTCTCAGTAATGTTGTGTTGTGTCACTGTCTCAGTAATGTTGTGTTGTGTCACTGTCTCAGTAATGTTGTGTTGTGTCACTGTCTCAGTAATGTTGTGTTGTGTCACTGTCTCAGTAATGTTGTGTTGTGTCACTGTCTCAGTAATGTTGTGTTGTGTCCACTGTCCCCAGAAATGTTGTGTTGTGTCACTGTCTCAGTAATGTTGTGTTTGTCAATGTCTCAGTAATTGTTGTGTTGTGTCACTGTTCAGTAATTTTGTGTTGTGTCACTGTTCAGTAATGTTGTGTTGTGTCATGTCTCAGTAATGTTGTGTTGTGTCACTGTCTCAGTAATGTTGTGTTGTGTCACTGTCTCAGTAATGTTGTGTTGTGTCACTGTCTCAGTAATGTTGTGTTGTGTCACTGTCTCAGTAATGTTGTGTTGTGTCACTGTCTCAGTAATGTTGTGTTGTGTCACTGTCTCAGTAATGTTGTGTCACTGTCTCAGTAATGTTGTGTCACTGTCTCAGTAATGTTGTGTCACTGTCTCAGTAATGTTGTGTTGTGTCACTGTCTCAGTAATGTTGTGTTGTGTCACTGTCTCAGTAATGTTGTGTTGTGTCACTGTCTCAGTAATGTTATGTTGTGTCACTGTCTCAGTAATGTTATGTTGTGTCACTGTCTCAGTAATGATGTGTTGTGTCACTGTCTCAGTAATGTTGTGTCACTGTCTCAGTAATGTTGTGTTGTGTCACTGTCTCAGTAATGTTGTGTTGTCACTGTCTCAGTAATGTTGTGTTGTGTCACTGTCTCAGTAATGTTGTGTTGTGTCACTGTCTCAATAATGTTGTGTCACTGTCTCAGTAATGATGTGTTGTGTCACTGTCTCAGTAATGTTGTGTCACTGTCTCAGTAATGTTGTGTTGTGTCACTGTCTCAGTAATGTTGTGTTGTCACTGTCTCAGTAATGTTGTGTTGTGTCACTGTCTCAGTAATGTTGTGTTGTGTCACTGTCTCAATAATGTTGTGTCACTGTCTCAGTAATGTTGTGTTGTGTCACTGTCTCAATAATGTTGTGTCACTGTCTCAGTAATGTTGTGTTGTGTCACTGTCTCAGTAATGTTGTGTTGTGTCACTGTCTCAATAATGTTGTGTCACTGTCTCAGAAATGTTGTGTTTGGGGTCACTGTCTCAGTAATTGTTATGTTGTGTCACTGTTCGTAATGTTATGTTGTGTCACTGTCTCAGTAATGTTGTGTTGTGTCACTGTCTCAGTAATGTTGTGTCACTGTCTCAGTAATGTTGTGTTGTGTCACTGTCTCAGTAATGTTGTGTCACTGTCTCAGTAATGTTGTGTCACTGTCTCAGTAACGTTGTGTTGTGTCACTGTCTCAGTAATGTTGTGTTGTGTCACTGTCTCAGTAATGTTGTGTTGTGTCACGGGTCTCAATAATTTTTGTGTCACTGTCTCAGTAATGTTGTGTTGTTCACTGTCTCAGTAATGTTATTTTTGTGTCACTGTCTCAGTAATGTTATGTTGTGTCACTGTCTCAGTAATGTTGTGTTGTGTCACTGTCTCAGTAATGTTATGTTGTGTCACTGTCTCAGTAATGTTGTGTCACTGTCTCAGTAATGTTGTGTTGTGTAAACTGTCTCAGTAATTTTTATGTTGTGTCCTGTCTCAGTATTGTTGTGTAAACTTTTCTAGTAATGTTGTGTCACTGTCTCAGTAATGTTGTGTCACTGTCTCAGTAATGTTGTGTTGTGTCACTGTCTCAGTAATGTTATGTTGTGTCACTGTCTCAGTAATGTTGTGTCACTGTCTCAGTAATGTTGTGTTGTGTCACTGTCTCAGTAATGTTGTGTTGTGTCACTGTCTCAGTAATGTTATGTTGTGTAACTGTCTCAGTAATGTTGTGTCACTGTCTCAGTAATGTTGTGTCACTGTCTCAATAATGTTGTTTTGTGTCACTGTCTCAGTAATGTTGTGTTGTGTCACTGTCTCAGTAATGTTGTGTTGTGACACTGTCTCAGTAATGTTGTGTGACTGTCTCAGTAATGTTATGTTGTGTCACTGTCTCAGTACTGTTATGTTGTGTCACTGTCTCAGTAATACTATGTTGTGTCACTCAGTAATGTTGTGTCACTGTCTCAGTAATGTTGTGTCACTGTCTCAGTAATGTTGTGTTGTGTCACTGTCTCAGTAATGTTATGTCGTGTCACTGTCTCAGTAATATTATGTTGTGTCACTGTCTCAGTAATGTTATGTTGTGTCACTGTCTCAGTAATGTTATGTTGTATCACTGTCTCAGTTATGTTGTGTCACTGTCTCAGTAATGTTGTGTCGTGTCACTGTCTCAGTAATATTATGTTGTGTCACTGTCTCAGTAATGTTGTGTTGTGTCACTGTCTCAGTAATGTTGTGTTGTGTCACTGTCTCAGTAATGTTGTGTTGTGTCACTGTCTCAGTAATGTTGTGTTGTGTCACTGTCTCAGTAATGTTGTGTTTTGTCACTGTCTCAGTAATGTTGTGCCACTGTCTCTGTAATGTTGTGTTGTGTCACTGTCTCAGTAATTTTGTGTTGTGTCACTGTCTCAGTAATGTTGTGTTGTGTCACTGTCTAAGTAATGTTGTGTTGTGTCACTTTCTCAGTAATGTTGTGTCACTGTCTCAGTAATGTTATGTTGTGTCACTGTCTCAGTAATGTTATGTTTTGTCACTGTCTCAGTAATGTTGTGTCACTGTCTCAGTAATGTTATGTCGTGTCACTGTCTCAGTAATGTTGTGTCACTGTCTCAGTAATGTTATGTTGTGTCACTGTCTCAGTATTGTTATGTTGTGTCACTGTCTCAGTAATGTTGTGTCACTGTCTCAGCAATGTTATGTTGTGTCACTGTCTCAGTAATGTTATGTTGTGTCACTGTCGCAGTAATGTTATGTTGTGTCACTGTCGCAGTAATGTTATGTTGTGTCACTGTCTCAGTAATGTTGTGTAAACTGTCGAATAATGTTTATGTTGTGTCACTTCCCAGTAATGTTGTGTCACTGTCTCATTTGTTATGTCGTGTCACTGTCTCAGTAATGTTGTGTCACGGGTCTCTTTAATGTTGTGTCGTGTCACTGTTCAGAAAATATTATGTTGTGTCACTGTCGCAGTAATGTTATGTTCTGTCACTGTCTCAGTAATGTTGTGTCACTGTCGCAATAATGTTATGTTGTGTCACTGTCCCAGTAATGTTGTGTCACTGTCTCAGTAATGTTATGTTGTATCACTGTCTCAGTTATGTTGTGTCACTGTCTCAGTAATGTTGTGTCGTGTCACTGTCTCTGTAATATTATGTTGTGTCACTGTCTCAGTAATGTTGTTTTGTGTCACTGTCTCAGTAATGTTGTGTTGTGTCACTGTCTCAGCAATGTTGTGTTGTGTCACTGTCTCAGTAATGTTGTGTTGTGTCACTGTCTCAGTAATGTTGTGTTTTGTCACTGTCTCAGTAATGTTGTGCCACTGTCTCTGTAATGTTGTGTTGTGTCACTGTCTCAGTAATTTTGTGTTGTGTCACTGTCTCAGTAATGTTGTGTTGTGTCACTGTCTCAGTAATGTTGTGTTGTGTCACTTTCTCAGTAATGTTGTGTCACTGTCTCAGTAATGTTATGTTGTGTCACTGTCTCAGTAATGTTATGTTTTGTCACTGTCTCAGTAATGTTGTGTCACTGTCTCAGTAATGTTTTGTCGTGTCACTGTCTCAGTAATGTTGTGTCACTGTTCAGTATTGTTATTTTGGGTGTCACTGTCTCAGTATTGTTATTTTGGGTGTCACTGTCTCAAGTAATGTTGTGTCACTGTCTCAGAAATTTTTATGTTGTGTCACTGTTCAGTAATGTTATGTTGTGTCATTTGTCGAAAGTAAATGTTATGTTGTGTCACTGTCGCAGTAATGTTATGTTGTGTCACTGTCTCAGTAATGTTATGACGTGTCACTGTCTCAGTAATGTTATGTTGTGTCACTGTCTCAGTAATGTTATGTTGTGTCACTGTCTCAGTAATGTTATGATGTGTCACTGTCTCAGCAATGTTATGTTGTGTCACTGTCTCAGTAATTTTATGATGTGTCACTGTCTCAGTAATGTTGTGTCACTGTCTCAGTAATGTTATGTTGTGTCACTGTCTCAGTAATGTTATGATATGTCACTGTCTCAGTAATGTATGTACTGTTCAGTTTGTAGTAACGCCATGTCACTGTCTCAAATAGTAACGTCATGTAACTGTCTCAGGCAGTAACCTCGTGTCACTGTCTCAGGTAGTAACGTCATGTCACTGTGTCAGGCGGTAACGTCATGTCACTGTCTCAGGTAGTAGCGTCATGTCATTGTCTCAGGTAGTAACGACATGACAGTGTCTCAGGTAGTGCCGTCATGTCACTGTCTCAGTAGTAACGTCATATCATTCTCGCTATTTAAAGTTTTTCCAGTCTCGTAACGTCATATCACTTTTCCCCGGTAGTAATTCATTTAAACTGTCTAGATAGAAAAATCATATCCTGTCTGAAGTAGTTACGTCAGCCCCTCTCTCAGTAACGTCAGTCACTTTCAGTAACGTCATGTCACTGTCTCAGAAACGTCATGCACACTCTTAACATTTTTCACTGTCCAGGTGGTAGCAGAGAGACTGCCAGAGTTGCTGATACAGTTCGATGCGAGGGCTGATGCAGAAGGAGGACGGGGAGTTAAAACATCCATG